TGCTTAAAAACTACTAAAATACTTTCCCGATACATATATACATATAATAAAAAGATCGGGGTATTTTTATTACTAATATCTTTTTAAATTATAAATTATTTTATCTGTTAATAAATGTACAAATACTTCTATCTGTTAATAAAATGGTTAATTTTTACAAAATTTTAAATATCAATCTAAATAACCCTTATTATATTATTTTCGACTAAAATTTGAAATCTGATATAATAATTTTTTTTATTATAATTTAACTCTACGTAATTCATGTTCATTATTACATTGCGATATGAGTTACATATTTTTATTTATTAAAAACACTCAATAGAAACCTATAAAAGTAATTTAAAGCATATTAATAACTTACCTGACAAATTAACTTATTCCAGCTGATTATATGAGAATCCTTTTATGCTATAATTAGCATCTGTTGAATTTGTAACTCAACAACCTAAAGTTGCATAACTTTAAATTACTGACTAGCATAAAATTTCTAATTTTGAATCAGTGCAACTCCAGGAATCTGAAGTTGCAACTTCAAGCAAACATACCAAATTTCATGTTACGAAAAAAACAATCAAAATTAAAAAATAAGAATACAACGAATCAGTATGAGGTAGTTTTGTGAGATGAATCTATTTTGCAAAAGGGCGAAAAATGAAACGTATCTTAAAACAAAAGCCTCAATGAAAGTCGAAATCTCTGTGCCTTTCATAAAACTTACGAAGAACAAAACCTCTAAGACTTCACAAAATCCGATAACAAGACTTCTTGAAATTTCTGATAGAGTCAGAGTCCTTATAAAGGGTGAAAGTCAAAGGCAGCGACATGATAACAATGAAAATCACACTAACTACGAACATGTAGACGAATCTTTAGAATCTAAAAAAAAAAACAAAAATAAAGAAAGGGTTCTACCCTGAATCACGAAAATCAAAATCCTGAAACTCAATTGTTGCAACGTATTTAATCGATTACTGTAGTAATCATTATCGCAATCATAATTATAATCATTATCACAACCATCGTTATAATCATAAGATGTTATCATTTGATGTGACAATTAAATTTCACCAAATTAAGCAATTCATTACGGCAAAACGCGAGCAACCAAATATTAAGTCTATCATTGTTTATATAGGCATGTGACATACCTTGCGCACAGTGCGATTTTGATTGGCCAACGGGCGACAATCAAAAATTTAGGCCAAAATTATTCGAAATTTTACTAATGAAATCGCGACCTCCTATTAAGTGAAAAATATTCCTAGTCTAATTTTACTATCGGATAGGCCCAAACCGTAAAAAATTTTCATTTTTGGAATCAAAAAATTAAAATTAATTCTAGTCAAAATTATGTGTAATACGGGCCAGAATTTTATCGATCACAGCGATTAGCCAATCAAAATCGTGAATTATTCGCTATGTTTTGTGCGGCATTTAGGTTTATAAATATCGTGCGCCTGCTAAATTGTGAAACGACTTAGAATAAATATACAAAGAGCGATAAATGACAAAATAACTGCCATTTGAAGTCATTTGCAAATAGGCAAATGATCTCGTCATTTACCTTACCATTCCCGTGACATGGTAAATCACTACATAAAAAAAAATGTGTAATGGTTATGGCCATTTACCATTCCTGTGACATGATACAATCAATACATAAAAAAGAAAAAATGTGTGTAATAGTTATGGTCATTTACCATTCCCGAGACATGGTAAATTCATGGTTATCTTAATAATAATAAAATCAACTCGTATTTTATGGTCAAATTCCTCATTGAATTTTATCACTAAAAAGACCCATTAGAGAACAATTAGATAGTGGATGATAATAAATTTCCAAGATCTAATGATTAAAATTTCTTAGTCGAAAATCTTATTTTTGTGGCTCAGTAAATTAAAATATACATTTATCTTTGATGAAAACAAAATAATATTACATAAATCTTAAAGGCGATTGAAGCATTTCCTTATATAAAAATAATGATGGTACAGTGTTTAAAACTTGTGTTTCGACTAATTCATTCAATCATTCAAGTAAAATCGATATTATCATCAATATCTTAACTTTATCTCTAAATTGTATGTATTTTTTACGGTCATACGCTATAAAATCTTAAATGATAGAATAAAAACGGAAAGTAAATGTGTAAAATTTTAGAACTCTTTTGAAATCCCTAATACACTTTTCAAAATTGATTTTTGTATTTAAACCACAAAAAAAAAACACCCATAAAAAAAAAACATTTCTTACCAACAAGAAAGCCATGAAATATTTCAATAATTTTACTTTGAAGTCAATTTTGCTTCTTATTCATGTCTTAATCTTGGGAATTGCCATTAATGAAGTTAATTCGTTGACTCCTATTGGACGTGCAGCCCACGCAACCGCTTTCGATGGAACCAAAATTTATATGCTCGGTGGAGCCATATCCAATGGGCCCGATGATCTTAATGAAGTAATTTATCTTGACGTATCTAAATCGTTTAATTCAAAAAATCCACCATGGAACCTATCAACACCAATGCCAATTGGAGCTGCATTCAGTTCGGCTTCATTTATTTACAATGGTAATCGAACCATTTATCTATTTGGTGGAAATATGTTCAATCCAGTTACGCATAACGAATCGTACCAATCATTTATATACGCGTTTAATCTTCAAACACTTAAATGGGATATACCTATTACAAAAGGCAAAATACCATCAAGACTTACCCAGTTTGGAGCAGTTAAAGATAATTTTGGAAAAATTTACATTTTTGGAGGAGGGAACAATCTTTATGGGACTTTGTCTGAGGAGATGAATATTTTTGATACGAATACCTTAACCTGGTCAAATGGGAGCAAATTATATTGGCCTGGAGCTCGACATTCTTATGCAGCAACATTATTACCAGATGGTGTTATCGTGTATACAGGAGGTCTTTATGCAGGTAATAAGGCTATGAACATTAGTGATGTTGTTCTTTATAATACAAAGTTGAATTCTTGGGAAGTGATGGTATGTATCCATGATAAAACCTTTTCTTTATAATAAATGCATTAAACCAACTAATGATATTCTAGACCGCAAAAAATGTAAACGCAATTGGATCCCGTTTTGGTCATACTGCCGTGTTAGGTATAATGTTTACTTGATGTATTTTCTTTTTTTTTTTGATTACGATAAAACGATATTTATTTTTGAAAACCTTATATGAAGCTCCCAACGGACAAATTATTGTTTGTGGTGGAACCAATTCAATAGATACAAAGGTTCAAGTCACACCAAACTTGGTAGTTTTAGATACTCGAAAGAAACCATTTGAATGGATTGTACCCCCAGTATCATCAAATGTTGGTGAGGTTCCTACTCTTTTGGGACATTCAGCGAATTTAGTTAGAAATTATATGATCGTTGCTTTTGGTAAATGGTTTATTAAAAATTTGACATGTCTTTTACATAAAAACAAGTTTTTCATTTTAATGATTTAATTATAAAATGTTATTAAATATCTAGGAAATATTACTCAACCGTATACATATCCTTTGGTGGCGAAAAACACAAAAATTTATTTGTTAGATGTTAGAAACTATACTTGGGTTGATACTTTTACGGTTTAACCTTCTTCTTAATCTCCTCTTTCTCAGGGCGTTCTCAAGCTCCTTAATCAATGGAGCAAAGAGTATCGGTGAATAAAATTTCTTGGCGGAAAATAATTAAGAGTGTTTAACATCGTTATGAATATTTAAAATAAATATTTAGTTTAATAAAGTTAAAACATATATAATATATTTTTATTAGTAAAAAAATAATACGAGAATTTATCATTTCAATTTACAAGCATTTACGGCAGACCATCTTCTTTAATCCCTGGCTTGGTAAAATTTATAATTAATGAGTGTTCAAAATAGATCCAAATAGATCCAAAGAGAAACCTTATCATGCAACAACCGAATATTAATGAACTATTTCAAATTTTGTTTGGATTTGTCGGGCAATAATTTGGTATATCCTTGTGAGCCGCTTTGCCCATTTTATCCAAAAAGGAGATTATTTATTCGAACTTTTAAATAAAATCATAAGCAATTGTTTTATAATAAATATACAATAAAAAAAAAAATTTGTCATAATATCAAAAATCATTGAGGTTTATGTTGCAACAAAATTCTGTTATATAAATGCTATGCCATTTTTCTTGTAGTAGTCTAAGGTATCTTCTGTTGAACCGTTATCGCCTGCAATAAAAATAATGTACATAATGTGATTACAATTAGGTTGTATTGAAGGTATTCATGGGTCTCCCGATGTAATCCAAGATGCATAGGTACCTGTGATGAATGTTAAAGTTGTTAACATAGGAATATCAAATATCGAAGATATTAAAGCGAGACTATCAAAAGTAAATTGGCCAATGAAACAAGTAGGAAAGATAGGAGAGAATGTCGGGACAAAAAAGAGAAATAAGAAATAATGGTTTACTCAATACAGACCCCTGCAGAGTTGGATTAATTTCTCACCATGCAATCATACGAAACAAGGAAAACTAGTATCGCAAATTTGTTAAATGAATGATTTATTTAATTCTACGCATGAACATTTTATACAGACAAATGAAATGGCGTTATGCTATGTTTTGTGGCATAAATTTCAGTATATAATATATATTTTCCATAATATACTGTAAGTAAATCGGTTTGAAACATGAAAATTCCATATTATCTTAGTTTTATTCGTTTAAAACAAACTCTGCATCCTATTCAAGCATTTATTATTAATTCAAGAATTTTCTTAATTTTTGATAAGATAATACAAGTATATTGTTTTATTTATTCTAAAATTTCCGAATTTACTTCTTTTTATAGCTTTACCGAGGATAGTTAAAATTATATCTTTCAAAAACATGAATTTTATTCGATATCGAAATATTGAAATTAGATCTAATATTGAAAAATTAATCCGGATAGTTTATCTTTATATCTCGTAACTGAAAACCATAATGATATCAGGTATGGATCTCTGAGGTTGATTTACAAAATGTCAAAATATCTTCAATTATTCTATTCTTCATTTGGAGTTTAATAGCTTTTTTCATTTTTGTCAACACCAATTCGATATTTACAGTAATTAATTAGTCGACTTCTAGTAAAACCTTTGAATTCTAAAATATTATTTATAAAGATCTAAATGAAATTTAAAGCCTTCGTCGTTATCTCTAAAAAAATGGGCCAGAAATAACAATACTTTATAAATAACAGTAATATAATATACATATTATTATTTTTTATCTTCGCTAAATGGCATTTTGAAAGCATATTCGTTGGACGAGGATTACGGTGTTACTATCGAATCGGGAGAGCGTCAGTAAGTGGGTGCCAATATTAGATCAGCGATAGCAAACGACGGTTGAATTGATGTAAGATAGGGACAACAATAGGTAGTTAATTATTGTTATAATATTTATAAGATAGGGTAAATAGTTATGTGGGATCGTTAAGCTGTTTTATCGATAGGAGTATCGGGATGTATGTACGATGTACAATACTAAAAGGAGTAAT